GAGCATGCAGAGTTTGAGATTCCTGTTAGATCCAAGTGGAGGTATTATGGTGGCAGTTGGTTCCTGCCACTTGAGCTCAGAGAGGCATTCTGATCAGAGATAAGGTTTTGGGAGTCTTTGGTGTTTAGCTGGCACTCAGAGCCATGGAGGGAGTGTATTGATCTTCTTTAGGAAGAGAGGACGGATGGGGAAGGGGCCACTCTGAAGCTTATGGGCTTCCCAGCAAATAGAGAGGGTTCACCTTAGAGACTGAACAGGAAATGATGGAGTCTGGAAATAGAGTAGCCCTTGAGAGAAGAGAAGAATGATGACAGAAATATTTGAAGGAGGTGGTAATAATTACAAGCTGTAATTTAAATATGTATTTTAAGTATATGGAAGTTGTAAGTTTTGATTAACATCTCTTTATGTTAGACCATACATTAGACCACGTGTACGTGATTTGAATATAAAGTCTTTCTTTTCCTTTTTTTTGGCTATTTGAGACAGAGTCTCGCTCTGTAATTCAGGCTGTCCTTGAACTTACTAAATAGTCCATGCTGGCCTTGAACTGCAGCAGATCTCCTGCCTCAGTCTCCAGAGCTTTAGGATTTCAGACATGCACCATCATGCCTGGCTTCAAATATCACGCAGCACTTCAGCCTCATGTTTATAATGCAGATGCTAAAGCCAAGTTACGGAAGTCCACGTCTCGGCCCCACCCCTTAATTACTGTGTAGTATGCCTCTGTTTCCTGATCAGTAAAACTGGGATTGTAATAGTGACTGCCTGGCAAGGTTTAGATGAGGACAGACATTATGCTTGGAAAGGTGTTTGCTGTATAAAAAATGTTTAGTGAATGTAAATTTTCAGTCATGGCCATTCACTAAAGATTTGATAAGTGAATGTTTAGTCCCTTCAGTAGTGAAGTTTTGGTAACAGAGGTGGAAGTCAAATTTTCAGACATTAAGGAAGTCATGAATAATGAGAAATATAGTCGATGCTAAAAATAGTTCCAGAACTTTTGCAAAGTTTGTATTATAATTAGGGCACACTGATCGTTTACCTCTTTTTTGTATCTTTATGCTTACATCCTGCCGTTGCATGTTCTGAGTAGATTTATTTTAGTTGTAAGAAGTTTTGATGTTTGAATACACACATACACAGGGTTTTTGGCATACTGGGGATTGAATCCAGGGCCTTTATACTAAGCTACATCCCAAGCCCAGCATATATTTTACTTTTTTTTTTAGTGTGTGTGTGTGTGTGTGTGTGTGTGGCCAGCTCAGTCCACCGGGGGGCGCGGCTGGCTGGCATGTGGTGCTGGGGGATTGAACCGTGGTCCCTGATGCTTTGCTAAGTAGGTGCTTTAGACCACTGAGCCATCTCACCAGCCCCATATTTTACTTTTGAGACAGAATCTCACTGAGTTGTCCAAGTTGGGCTTGAACTTTTGATTCCCTGCCTCAGTCACCCCGAGTGCTAGGATTACAGGAATGTGTCACCACACCTGAGTCTCAATCATATATATGTAGTACTTTTATTTATAAGAATTTTAAGACATATTCCTTACACTTTAATCTGACATGCTCCAAGATAGGAAATAGATTAAGAAGTAGGAACAAAGATATAGAAAGAGTAAGAGTTCTCCCAAGGTCTGATTCATAACAACTTTCAGAAAATTCAATTTATTGGGCACTCAGTATATAAGTATTGTCTTTGTGTAATATAAATGAAACAAAACTTCCATGAAACAACAATAATCCTTGCTGCATGTGGGTTTTCTATTCTGGTATTTTTTATGCTATCCTATTTTCTCATGGTTTTTATTATAATGCTATTCATTGCTCCTATGTTTTGAATTTTTTTAATTCTGTATTGTATTTGTAATTTGTGAACATTAAAGAAAAGCTAAAAAATGAGAGAGAAGGATTCATGTTCCCAGAACCTTAAAATAACCATAGTTAGTATATTTCTTTTCAGATCTTTTTTCCAGTGCATAGTTTGTAAGAGGCCTAAAGAGTTCAGACTGTAATCTGTACACATTGGGAACCCTGGAAGGATTTAAGCAGGAATGTGTTATAATCAGACTGGTGTCGTGGATGTGAGTAGCCTGGAAGGAAGAAGACTGGTTCCCAGGATGTGGGCAGGATCTGAGCCAAGTTGGCAGTGTGAGGGTGGGGAGAGGCATTTCTAGACATACTTAGAGACTGAGTGGAAGGAGGTTGTGGTCCTGTCTGGATTGTGGGATAAAACGGCAAGTTTGAGTTTAGTTCTTTTGTATCTATCAAATCTTCCACAGTGACCATATTCTGTTGTTTAAGGTATTTATTAAAGAGAGTTAAAGACTGTCTTTGCATTGAGCCTTGAGGGTGATTTCTCCCTGAAAGAGAGCTCTTCTGAGGAGGGCCTCCGGAGGGGTGCGAATGGGTGGAGGGAGTGGTGTGGAGGTGGGGAGCTGGCAGCAGGTCTGGCCTCTTTTTAGAGTGTGTGCAGAAGAGAAGCCAAAGGCACTCATTTCTAAAGGCCTCGATGTATTCCCTAAGACAGGAGATGCAAGGCCATCAGCAGAGACCTGTAGGACTTTGTGGGATTGTGGAGAAAAGTGAGGGATGTCCGCAAGGCCTTCTGGGCACATGTGTGCACAAGCATATGTGTTCTTCGTGGCCCACAGTTGTTGGAAACGTAGGCTGAGACTTACATTGCAGGTACTGTCCTAAGCATCTTCTGTACTTCCTACTGTATCTCCTTAATCCCCGTAACAGCGCTATGAGGTGGTTATTACAGGTTGAGTATCCTTAACCCAAAAACCTAAAGTCCCAAATGCTCCAGAATTCAAAACTTTCTGAATGCCAGTATGACACTAGAGGAAAATGCCATACCCTGAAACTTTGTTTCATGCACAGATTATTAAAAATATTGTATAAATTTACCTTCAGGCTAGGTATATATGAAACAAATGAATTCTGTGTTTAGACTTGGGTCCCATCCCCAGGGTGTTTCATGTGTATACAGATGTTCTAAAATGTGAAAAAAAAATCAGCAATTAAAAACACTTCTGGGCTTAAGCATTTTAGATAAAGGTTGTTTAGTCTTTGTCTCATTCTCATTAAAGAAAATCTAAGGCTTAGCAGTAATTAACTTGCTTACGGTGAGATGTGGAGCCAGGACCAAACTTATACTGTCATAGTTTTTTCAGATTTTTAAAATTTCATAGAATTGATAATATTAACATAAACATTTAAAGTTTAAATTATAGTACATTAGTGGGCACTTATATTCTAGTCACTAACTTAAAATAAATAACCTATTGCTTCCAGACTGTAGATACCCAAGGTGTACTTGAACATCAAGTTAGCCTTAACTTTTTTTTTAATTAATTAATTAATTTATTTATTTATTAGAGAGAGAGAGAGAGAGAGAGAGAGAGAGAGAGGTGTGTGTGGCCAGCTCAGCCCACCAGGGGGCGGGCTGGCTGGCATGTGGTGCTGGGGGATTGAACCGCGGTCCCTGTGCTTCGCTGAACTTGTTCTAAGTAGGTGCTTTAGACCACTGAGCCATCTCTCCAGCCCAGCCTTAACTTTTTAAAGGCAGCATTAATTTAAGTTTTTTCTGTTTGCTTAGTAACACATTTAATATGTTACAAAAGTGACATAGAAGAGCATTTAGATGCAAAAGCCCCTGTCTAGCCTATCTTTTATAACAAAAATATGCAACGGAAATTTATTTCTGATAGCCTTGGAGGCTGTACAGTGCACATGAAGGTGCCGTACCAGCGTGCTTCACGTCTGATGAGGACTGGAAGATGGCACTAATCCCATCTGCATGGGCGGGGGGAGCCCTTTGACCTGATCATCTGAAAGACCCTGCCTCATAATACTGTTAGATTGGGAGTAAAATTTTCACATTTGAATATTTGGGTTATATAAATATTAAGACCATACCAGCCCCTAACATTGCATTTTTAATATAAAATAATCTTTTATTATAAATATACTACATAGTGATAGTTTAAGTAAATCAAACTGCAAAAAACAGTGAAATCCCTCCAAAAACCCATTTCTGGAGTATATACACATTAAATATTTTGTAACATAGTGTATTGTATTCTGTATTTTGCTTTTTTAATCTTATTAATTTAATCTATTGTCTAATAAAGGGCTTTCTTATCATTTTTCATGACAGCATAATGTTGTATTAGAGATTTAACATAATTTGCTGTAAAGTCTCTTATTGATGGATTTTTAGGATGTGTATGATTTTTTTCACAAGAATGCCATAACAGGGCTGGAGAGATGGCTCAGTGGTCTAAAGCACCTACTTAGAACAAGCTTAGCAAAGCATCAGGGACCGCGGTTCAATCCCCCAGCACCACGTGCCAGCCAGCCCCGCCCCCTGGTGGGCTGAGCTGGCCACACACACCTCTCTCTCTCTCTCTCTCTCTCTCTCTCTCTCTCTCTCTCTCTCAAATAAATAAAAAATTAAAAAAAAAAAAAGAATGCCATAACAGCCATCTGCATGTCATTGTAAACAGTTCATAGTTGTGTCACATGTTTTCCCCACATCCCTCTAATCCAGCTTCTTTTGAGGTGAAGGCAAGAGAATCAAAAGTTCAAGTTCAGCCTGGGCTGACTTGCAAGACTCTCTCTCAAAAAAATTAAAATGCACTGGGGACAGAATTCAGTGTAAAGGCCTTTTGTTCAGTCCCCAGTATCTCTCTCTCTCTGTCTCTCTGTCTCTCTGTCTCTCTGTCTCTCTCTCTCTCTCTCTCTCTCTCTCTCTCTGTCTCTCTCTCTCTGTCTCTCTGTCTCTCTCTCTCTCTCTCACACACACACACACACACACACACACACACACACGAAAGAATCCTGTGGATTGTTTGTCTTCTGACATTGTTTGTGATTTTTTTTTTCCTATATAAGTGTTTTTAGCTTTTTATGTTCTTAATTATATGTATTTTGTGTTGGGTGACCCTAGGTTTAATGTCAAGCAAGACTAACACTAAAATACTTTTACTTTAGGCTGATACCATGCTAAAAATGGGCTTTCAACAGCAAGTACTTGACATTTTGGAAAACATTCCTAATGATTGCCAGACCGTTTTGGCTTCTGCCACAATTCCAGCTAGCATAGAGCAACTAGCAAGCCAGCTTCTGCATAACCCTGTGAGAATCATCACTGGAGAAAAGAACCTACCATGTCCCAGTGTGCGTCAGATTATCCTGTGGGTGGAAGACCCAGCCAAAAAGAAAAAGTTATTTGAAATCTTAAATGTGAGTGACAAAGCAGTGAACCATGTTTTGTAGACTGTTTGCATTTTCCACAGCTTTAAGAGAATTGTTTCTAGTGGCAGCTTTTTGAGAATTTGACTTACATTGATGAATTTATTTAATAATTAATTGCTTCACCTAGGTCAGAATTCTGTGAGGATCAAATATATTTTTATTTGTAAAGGCATGCTGTATAGGTGCAGGGTTGGTTTTTATTTGGCTTTGTATACAAAGACATTTAATTATTATGATTGTTCCTTAAGAATTTTTTACTTTCAAAAATTTTCAGTACTTTCCTTTACATAAGATGAGGTTAAGATATTTCTTAGGTGTTTGTCCTTGATAAATTTTTTACTGTGACTGATTTAAACAAAAATGTCTTAAGTGGGTAATACAGTGTACTTACAAATACAGTATTGAGCTAACCATGGTTTTTATTCACTCAGCAGTATTTAGAACTGTATTAATTGTACTCAAAATCTGTAGCGCATATTTGCAATTTAATGGTACAGAAATGTGGAAGGCATCAACCAGCTTCTGTTTGTATACATTTTTAAGGACGTGTGTTTTTAGCACAACATGCCTTTTTTCTTCCTTAAAATATGTATAAGCCTTTCCTTAACTAATTTTTATTAGTGCTTTCAGAAAACTTCTCATTGTAATTATAGCAATAATTTTAAATAATGTTTTTGGCTTTTTAGGATAAGAAGCTCTTTAAACCCCCGGTGCTAGTGTTTGTGGACTGCAAGCTGGGAGCAGATCTGCTGAGTGAGGCAGTGCAGAAAATCACAGGTCTAAAAAGCACAGCAATACACTCAGAGAAGTCACAAGTAGAAAGGAAAGACATACTGAAGGTGTGACGCTCAGCGTTCTTTTCCCTGTAAATCTGTCTTGCCTAATTTGCAAGGGATAATGTGTTTTGAAAGCAGACCTCTTTTTAAGAATGAAAATTTCAGGCAACCAATAACCATGACGCTAATTATCTGTGTTTGGGGAGCAATACGCCTGTTCTTTGGGGATTAGATACTAACTGTATTACTAGTTCAGAATTTATCATTTCTGAAATCAGATCAGTTTGGTCTGAAACAGAAGTAATTCATCTTTGGAAAAGATTTTCCTGAGGAAATTAATAGAAATAAATAGCTTGGGGGGAGGTAGAATTAAAACTACATACATTTTTGCATGAGTAACAAGACTTTTTTGAAAATAATAGTAATGTTAGAGTATTTGAAAAAAGAAAAGATGTCACAATTCGATAAGACCATATAAAGTAAGCCATATAAAGTAAATTCTGATTTAATCCTGTTGCTTCTTTGGACAGGGATTGCTAGAAGGAGACTATGAAGTTGTGGTGAGCACAGGCGTCCTGGGGCGGGGCCTGGACTTGGTCAGCGTCATGCTGGTCGTGAACTTCGATATGCCTTCAAGTATGGATGAGTACGTGCATCAGGTAAAGAGGCTCCACCTGTTATCACGTTTGGATCATGAGTTTTACTGAGTAAGGCATTGTCAGTATAATGTTAAGTTTAAAAAAGCAGGACATAAAACTGTATACTTTCACTCTTAATATATGTATGCGTATAAACCAAATTTGGTTTTTAAAGGTTCTTGGTATTGCCTGAAATGCATTTTTAAAAACTGGATGGACCCAGTGACCACACCTATAATTCTAGCTACTCAGGAGGCAATAGCATCATTAATTTGAGCCTAGCCTGGCATTTTGGTCACTTTTCTCTCAATGCTGGGACAAAAAACCCAACACCCAAAATTAAGGAAGGAAAGGTTTACTTAGATTGCAGCCAGTGGAGGTTTCAGTCCATAGTCAGTGGGCTCCAAGGTGGAGTGGCACTTGGAAGAAGGCAGCAGTTTATGGCAGTAAATACCAGCAAAATAGCAAGAGCAAAAAGGGAGGAGCAGCAGTAGGAGCGGTGGAGTAGCAGTAGTGGCAGCGGCAGCGGCAGCGGTGGCAGCGGCAAGCAAGCCTTTCTCGCTTATATTGCATTCCAGCTCTCCGCAGTTGTAGCACTGCGTGTCACACCCGTAATCCCAGCATTCGAGCATGAGTCAATCACAAACTCTAGAAGCCACCCCATGACTGCATGAGGCTTTGGGGGGGACACCTAGACACAGCCGTAACACTTGGGTGACACATGGAGACCTTGTCTCATAAATGACTGAACGAACGAATGAATGAATGAATGAATGAATGAATGAATGAATGAATGAATGGCTGGCTGGGGATATAGCTCTGTGTTTCCTGGGGTCAATTCCTCAGAACTCTAATTGGGGAAAAAAAAACCCTGAAATGTTAACTAAAAAAAATTATAGGTACTAGATTTTCTTTTTTTCTTCAGTGAACATACTAATTGCTTTATAATCAGAAAATAAAAACTATTTAAGTTGATTGTTTTAGGTTGATATATCTGTCCAAAATAAAATTGATCCTTTGTACAGTATTAGTTTTTTAGGAATCTTGTCTTCATCTGCTCTTCATATCCTTATTTGTTCTAGTCTTTCACCTTTTAAAATTTTGTTCCTTTCTTTTGCTGCCAAAGGTAACAGTAGCTTCTGTTTCTCGCAGAAATAGAGCCTGCTTTCAGTGCCACACTATCTCCCTGGCTGCTGCCTGTCTTCCTTCTCGGGCATCGCTTACAGCCCCACTGTGCAGAGCCTTTCTCTGATGTTCTTAGAATCACCTCTGAATGCCTCCCTTACTTGACTCGCCCTCTCAAGCGCTTTTCACACTTGTATTTTTGGTAGCATCTCATTTGCCTATAGATCAGTGAATTGAGCGTCTCCCAGCAGTTCATTGTTCAAATAACTGATCTGTTTTCTTTCAAATTTTTGCTAATTTTGAATGGAAACCTTTCCAAAATGTCATTTAGAAAACTTCATTGATTTTTAAAGAGTGTGCTGGTTATAATTACTGAACTGTTCTTGCTGTCCCAAGACTAACTCTGGACTCCCAATTACTCACTGTACCATGCTGTAAAAGCAGTGGTATCAAAACTTGGTGACATTCATAGGATTTCTTACCTCACTCAGAATGGCTCCAGACCTTTGGACTTTTCTGGTTCTGTATGTGGGTCTTTTGGGTTTGTTTACTTGATTCAGTAATTAAAGTACACATTCACCAATAACAAATTGCTACAAACCTGCTTTTTCTTACTGCTTTTTTATCTTTAAGTAGTTTCCGCAGTTAACCATGCAGAAAATATAAATACATGTATACATGTGCACATATGTAGTTATGTGTACACATATACACATAGTTACTGAACTGTTCTTGTACATTTCACACACATGTAGATGGGAACTCATACCAACCATGTGCTATCTTACTTTAGCAAAGGTGCCTTAGATAGCTTTCCTTATCAGCACACATAATCAGTACCATTCAGCAAATGTTCATTTGTATTGAATTCTTACAGTATGTCCATGCACTCTTTAGATGAGCTTTTACTTATTTAATCTGGCTTGTTTGCTTTCAAAATTTGCAAGGTAATATATTGTATGAACGCACTAGTATTATTTAACATACCCTTTTGATGAGTAGTGTTTTCTAGTATTTTTGTTACTAAATAATGCAGCAGTAAACCCGCACGGGCTTATCTCTGTGCCTCCTGCATGTGTTGCTGGGAGGTGGGCCCCGTCAGGCGTGGTGGGTGATGTGTGCTTCTGGCCCCTCCAGCCTGGGAGGCTGAGGTGGCAGAATTGCTTGAGCCCAGCAGTGCAAGCTCAGCTTGGGCAGCATAGTGAGATCTTGTTGCACGACAAAGCAAAACACCCCAACTCCTAATAGAGTAGCTAAGTTAAAGGATGTGTACTTAGAATTTAGAATTGTAATAGGAATTGCTGTACAGTATCTGCTTTTTAGTGCTAGGAATACAGAGCTTCTGGGAGAAATAACTTGACATTTGTTAACATCCACTATATTTTAGAGTTTGGAGGTGATTTTAGATTTCGTATCTGTAAAGTCTTTCAGTAGATGTTATTCACATGCTATACAGTTCACCTATCTAAAGTGAATTCAGTCAAATTGTTTTATTTATTAAATGCTAAAGCCAAGTTAGGAAAGTCCACGTCTCGGCCCCACCCCTTAATCACTGTCTAGTATGCCATTGTTTCCTGATCAGTAAAACTGGGATCATAATAGTGACTGTCTGGCAAGGTTTAGATGAGGACAGACGCTATGCTTGGAAAGGTGCTTGCCGTATGATAAATGTTCAGTGTATGTAAATTTTGAATCATAGTTAGCCACTCAGTAAAGATTTGGTAAGTGAATGTATAGCCCCTTCAATAGTGAAGTTTTGGTAACAAATACCAAATTTATTCATAGAGTTGTGCAACCTTGTTGCAGTCAATTTTAGAAAAATTTAATCACCCTATAAAGCTACCCCCTACTGTCCTCAATCTGCACCACACATGTGAGCACACACCCCCCACCAGTAGCCACCTCTCAGTCTATGTTCTGTCTCTATAGACGTTGTCTTCTGTATATTTCATGTCAGTGGACTCACTCAATGTGTGTCTTCATGTGACTTGCTTCTTCCACTTAGCATGTTTTGTGTTTGCCTATATTGACTGTATCATGTATTAGCATACCTTCTTTATTGGCAAATAATATTCCATTGTGAGGCAGTACCACCTTTGCTTATCCACTCATTAGTTGCTAGACATGTAGGCTGTTTCCACTATGATTGCAGTGGCTGCTATGAAACTATATGCAAGCTGTTGTGTCCACTTGTGTTTTAATTTCTGCTAGATTGGTATCTAGAAATAGAATTGCTGGTTCATATGATAGCTCTGTTTAACATTTTGCAGACCTTTTCAATTATTTTACTGTTTTACCTTTCCACCAGCAACATATTAAGAGTTCCAGTTTCTCTACATCTTTGCCAACAATTATTATGGTACCAGGGATCAAAATTGGGACCTTGAGCTTGCTAGGCAGGTGCTTAAGCCACTGAGCTATCTTCCCAGCTGCCAACAATTATTGCTATTCATCTTTTAGGTTATAGCCATTCTAGTAAGTATAAAGTGGTATTTTATTGTGCTAAGACCTGCATTTTGTTCTTTTTTTTTAAACTATTTTTTTAAAATTTT